GGCGAGCCGCGCGTAAGTGGATGTCCAGAGAAGACGAGTGCCTCACCGAAGCATGGAAGACCGTCAGCATGGACCCTGTCACCGGCGTGAACCAGAACACCGACACATACTAGACGCGCATCAAGTCGGCGTTCGATGAGCGCAAGCTTGTCGACCCCTACTTCGTCACCATCCACATGTAGCGCGGCTCAAAGGCCATGTTGAACCATTGGGCGATCATCCAGACGGCCTGCAACAAATGGCATGGGATCGTCGAGGAGATCGCGACTCGCCCGGAAAGCAGCGCCAGCGTCGAGGGTCAGGTATGTACCGCCCCGGCTCACTTCTTTCGCCGTGTACGTCGCCGACACTTGTTCTTCGACTGCGCAGATGGTTCGGATGTTCACCATGTACCACCAGGACAGCAGCGACCAAGAGTTCAAGTTCCTTCACGTGTTCTCCCGGATCGAATCATGCGAGAAGTGGAGCGATCTCCGACTGACGGAAATATGCCCTAGAGGCAATAATAAAGTTGTTATTCATATTTCCTTATATCATGATAAATGTTTATTATTCATCAAAGCATTGTATTAACCGGAAACTTGATACATGTGTGAATACATAGACAAAACACCGTGTCCCTAGTAAGCCTCTACTAGACTAGCTCGTTAATCAAAGATGGTTAAGTTTCCTAACCATAGACATGTGTTGTCATTTGATGAACGGGATCACATCATTAGGATAATGGTGTGATGGACATGACCCATCCGTTAGCTTAGCATGTTGATCGTTCAGTTTTATTGCTATAGCTTTCTTCATGTCATATACATATTCCTTTGACTATGAGATTATGCAACTCCGGGATACCGGAGGAATACCTTGTGTGCTATCAAACGTCACAACGTAACTGGGTGATTATAAAGATGCTCTACAGGTATCTCCGAAGGTGTTTGTTGAGTTGGCATAGATTGAGATTAGGATTTGTCTCTCTGGTATCGGAGAGGTATCTCTGGGCCCTCTCGATAATACACATCATAATAAGCCTTGCAAGCAATGTGACTAATGAGTTAGTAACGGGATGATGTATTATGGAACGAGTAAAGAGACTTGCTGGTAACGAGATTGAACTAGGTATGAAGATACCGACGATCGAATCTCGGGCAAGTAACATACCGATGACAAAGGGAATAACGTATGTTGTTATTATAGTACGATCGATAAAGATCTTCGTAGAATATATAGGAACCAATATGAGCATCCAGGTTCCGATGTTGGTTATTGACCGGAGATGTGTCTCGGTCATGTCTACATAGTTCTCGAACACGAAGGGTCCGCACGCTTAATGTTCAATGATGATTTTGTATTATATGAGTTACGTGATTTGGTGACTGAATGTTGTTCGGAGTTCTGGATGAGATCACAGACATAACGAGGAGTCTCGAAATGGTCAAGAGGTAAAGATTCATATATATGACGATGATATTCGGACACCAGAAGTGTTTCGGGGTGTACCGGAATCCCACAGGGGATTAATGGGCCTTATGGGCCATAGGAGGGGAGCACACCAGCCCACAAGGGGTGGCGCCCCCCAAGGAAGGAGGCCGAATAGGAGAAGAGGAGGGGGTTCCGCCCCCTTTCCTTCCTCCCCCTCTCTTCCCTTTTCCCCTTCCGGTAAAAGGAAGGGGGGGGGGAGCGAATTGGACTAGGGGCACAAGTAGGATTCCTTCTACTTGGGCGCCCCCTTGGCTGCCTCTCCTCCCCTCCAATCTATATATATATATATATATATATATATATATATATATGGGAGGGGGGCACTGCTAGAAGACACACCAACATCTGTTAGCCGTGTGCGACATCTCGCTCCACAGTTTACGCCTCCGGTCATATTCACGTAGTGCTTAGGCGAAGCCCTGCATGGATCACTTCACCATAACCGTCACCATGCCATCATGCTGACGGAACTCTCCCTCGACAGTTTGCTGGATCGAGAGTTTGAGGGACATCATCGAGCTGAATGTGTGTAGAACTCGGAGGTGTCGTAAGTTCGATGCTTGATCGGTCGGAACAAGAAGAAGTTCGACTACATCAACTGCGTTGTCAAATGCTTCCGCTTTCGGTCTATGAGGGTATGTAGACAGACTCTCGCCCTCGCGTTGCTATGCATCTCCTAGATAGATCTTGTGTGAGCGTAGGAATTTTTTTGAAACTGCATGCTACGTTTCCCATCAGTGGCATCCGAACCAGGTCTATGCATATATGATATGCACGAGTAGAACACAAGGAGTTGTGGGCGGTGATCGTCATACTGCTTACCACCAATGTCTTATTTTGATTCGGTGGTATTGTTGGATGAAGCGGCCCGGACCAACCTTACATGACCATGTTCATGAGACCGATTCCACCGACAGACATGCAACTAGTTTTGCATAAAGGTGGCTGGCGGGTGTCTGTTTCTCCAACTTTAGTTGAATCGAATTTGAATGCCGCCGGTCCTTGTTGAAGGTAAAAACAGCAAACTTGATAAATCATCATTGTGGTATTGATGCGTAGGTAAGAACGGTTCTTACTAGAAGCCCGTAGCCACCACGTAAAACTTGCAACAACAAAGTAGAGGATGTCTAACTTGTTGTTGCAGGGCATGTTGTGACGTGATATGGTCAAGACATGATGTGATATACGTTGTCTTATGAGATGATCATGTTTTGTAGAAGTTATCGGCAACTGGTAGGAGCCTTATGATTGTCGCCTTATTGTATGAAATGCAAACGACATGTAATTGCTTTACTTTATCACTATGCGTTAGCGATAGTTGTAGAAGCAATAGTTGGCGAGACGACCACAACGCTACGATGGAGATCAAGGTGTCAAGCCGGCGACGATGAAGATCATGACGATGCTTTGGAGATGGAGATCAAAGGCACAAGATGATGATGGCCATATCATGTCACATATTTTGATTGCATATGATCTTTATCTTTTATGTATCTTATTTTGCTTAGTACGGTGGTGAAAGGATCGATATAGTTGACTAGAGGGGGGGGGGGTGAATAGGCAACTAACAATTTTTAGCTTTTCTTTACCAAATTAAACTTTGCATCAAAGTAGGTTGTCTAGATATGCAACTAGGTGAACAACCTATATGATACAACAACAACAATCACACAAGCAAGCAAGGGATATAACACAAGTAAGTTTGCAAAAGTAAAGGAGCGAGATAACCAAGAGTGGAGCCGGTGGAGACGAGGATGTGTTACCGAAGTTCCTTCCTTTTGAGGGGAAGTACGTCTCCGTTAGAGCGGTGTGGAGGCACAATGCTCCCCAAGAAGCC